GCATCCAGCAGTTTATTAAGTTTTTTAAAAATATTTATTTGAAGATGTTTTGTATTTATAAGTTTGATGTAAAATAACATTATGAGATGCATATTACAAGTGCAATAGGAAATCTTGGAATATGCTAATATTAGCCTGATAGCATTGAAAGCTTACATTGCAAATCTCCATCAAAAGCCATGCCTCCTGAATGTATAAACACACATTAGACAACATCACTGTTACATCACATAACATTTACCATAGAGAAAACTTTATTGTACATTTTGTAATTACCATTACTAAAAAAAAAAACTTGAAAAAAAATTAAGTTGATGTTTGCCTCCCCTTCTCTGTCTTATCAGTATCCAAGTATCCATGACAATTTTTGTTTTTGTTATATATATATATATATATATATATATATATATATATATATATACCCCGAAATGGACACTTAGTCATTACTTACATTTTTTTATGCCACATGCCCCTCTTTTTAGACCTAATAAATAAATAAATAAATAAAGTAAAAAGAATTAACAACATATTCTTATTGAAATTGTAAATAATGGCAGATCAAACTTTATTATTATTTAAAAAAAAGGTCACTTGATACATTTTGTATATTTCAAATTTCTTGTTTTATTTACAAAACTCCTGACCTTGACTCATAGTTTTTGTATAGATGCATTTAATGTAGATATTGTGTTTCATATTAATCTGGTAATTGTGATTAATCACATTGGTGGATGTGTGTGCCTTTTCTTGATGATTCAGAGCAAACTGAGACGCTAGTAGAGTCTCATACACAAAGATATTACATTTTGGTTTGGTTTGTCAGAATGTTGCACTTGTGTGCTATTTTTTGTATGCATGGGTTGATGAGATTTTTTTGGAATGCTAATATATTATTGTGGTCAAGGTCAACTTTTTCCCAAGTTTATAAATAAGGATTTACTTTTTTCCATTAATTATCCCTTTAATCCCTCATTTCCATTCATAAAATGGCACAATAATTACATTATCTACAAAGAAATTTTCACCCTTAGAAGTATCCAGCACGGCTTTAAAGGGACAGTTCACCCAAAAATGAAAATGACCTCATCATTAAGGCCACAACTACACACAAAAATTGTTTACAGAAAACTTCCCATTCACATGAAAACACAAAAAAAAGCAGATATCACACTTTTATTCTGAGTTCACATCAAACAGTTTTGCGAGTAAATTGCATACAAGTCGATGCAAACTTGAGAACAGAGGCTGATTACTGTCCCGTGGTTTAGACTACATGGAATACAGCAATGTGTTTGCATGGATTGTGCAGAATTTACCTCATTTACACTCACACCTGCAGCTTCTTCATAATGGACGTCCAGTGTTCTCCAGCCCTCAGCGTCCAGATTGAAGCTCTGCACAAGAAGTTTGCCCAGAGGAGAAATGGTCGTGCCCAACTGAACCTGCTTCTCTTGAGATATTTTTTCCTTCACTTTAGTCATTGTTCCTTGCTACTGTCGCCACTATCTTGCTTGTTTTGGGACTTTTAGAGCTGAGCATTAATGGATTTGCTGTTCAGTGTCTACATTGTAAAAGTGCTATATAGGGGAATTGAATTGAATTAAATTAAATTAGCTTCTTCTGCATTTGGTGTGAACCCAGCCTTATTTTCAACCAGAATAGACCTGACCTACATTTCACTGCTGGTCATACTTTGTATTGCTATGTATGTGACAAATAAAACTTGACTTGACTTGAGAATAGAGAAAACAGCATGCGCGCTGTCGTAATGGCGCAGATACTCCGGTTGTATGGTCCACATGACCACACTGTACCCAGAGTTTAGGAAAATCTTTACCCTGGCTGGAGTTTTCTGAAAGTTTAGTTTTCATGTGTAGAAAACAATAAAACTGCATAGAAAAAAGATTGGTTTTGAAGATTCCTGTGTTTGTGTGGACAAGGCCTTACTCTCCCTCGTGTGGCTTTAAACCTTTATCCATTTTTTTGGATTCATTTTCCATTTCTTTCAAGAATTTTGGCTGCTGGGGCCATTTGTCATCTATTTTATTTAAAATATCTTCTTTAGTGTTCTTTTAAACACATGAAGGGGGAAAGAATTTACATTTTTGAGTGAACTAACCCTTAAATACTGCGGGAAGTACTGCGAGTTGTTGACATGTATATTTACATCCATAGGCTTTCGATAATGCAGATTACAGGTCTTATCATGCTTGTGTACTGTATGGCTGTTTTGTGTTTGCACTACCGGTTTGTCAGAAGCGTCCTGCACCTGCAGTCTTTAGAAAATAAGCCATTGAAAATGCCTTTCATAACACGTTATATAAGCACGGATGAGACTAAACAGACGTTTCCTTACGCCACCCGTCTGTTGCAGCATGACTGAGAACTGCCCAGCATAACACACACACACACACACACATTGTCATTTTGAGATGTAACGATACACAGCGTTTTCTGCATTCATGACACAATTCAAGAGGTTGTCTTGTGTTCAGTTTCAAACTGAAAAAAGTAGCGCTGGTTTTAACTAAATCAGTTTTGACTCTGCCTTCATATCTTCCAATCAGAGCCGCTGTTTTGTGGTTCAACCCAAACGGAAGAGACTATTTGTTCATTTCTAATTAGAGCCAGGAAATGTTTGTTCATATTGGATTTGGGCGGGCCTCCTTCATATTTCTTGGCACATTTACACAAACTATTTAAGCATCCTGTTTAAATTCCTCTACTCTGAATGAAGAACAAAATACACACAAGTAGGTTTTTGTACACTTACATAAGAGAACTTTCTTTGCCTGAAGTCACGGCTTAGAAACGCGTCATTCAAGGAATGTGAAGTGTGTCATTTCTGGTAGTACTTCATTGTGTAGGTTGAATTAAATATCACCCAGCACTTCACGTTTACAGTGATTTAACATATCTACGTCCTGATTGATTTAGTGTGCTATTTTTGTGATTATCTCCCTACATAATGCTTATGAAGTTTATGTTGGCACAAAACAGCAAGGCTCTTTCATGCTAAAGTGCTTTAAATCTAAGAGTTTGCTCAAACTCTAACAGCTTTCTGCTGGTTCTGCGTGGCTTGTGCGTCACAACAAAAGATCTCATGTTTACCCATTGATACACTTAAACATGCAAATTTATAAACTCACCAACTTGCTGAAGTATGCAAAAGTGTAAATGACAGCACCAGACCACTGCCAAATATTTGATGATGACACAGCAGTTTTATTATCAGGCATTTACAGTTTTTATTTACATTAAATTCTTGGGGAACACTTTAAAATAATGGTCCATTAGTTAATGTTAGTTCATGTATTTACTAACGTGAACAAAGTATTACATTTATTATGGCATTTATTTATGTTTGTTAACTTAAGTTAATGTGAAGTTAAATAATGGTAGTTAATGTTAATTCACAGTGCATTAACTAATGTTAACAAGCAAGTTTAAATTTTAATAATGCAGTAGTTTATGTTGAACTATGATTCTTAAATGCTTTGCAAGATTATTCATACTTAGTTAATTTTAATAAATACATTTACTGATAGACCATTATTTTAAATTATTAGCATTATTTGATTATTATTCAAAACAAAAATAAAATATTGCATATATCAAGAAAGAAGATCATTAAAAGAGGTTAAAAAGCCATTTATTAATGATTGAATAGCACATTATTATTGTTAGGGCACATGTCCCGAAGTGATTTGTTCAGCTAAAAATGCCAGTGTTCTTCTAAAAAAGCCCAGATGTGAGCACTTCTTGAACTTTTTAGGCTGGCAACGCCACAAAAACTAGCACCTACGAAACCCAACTGTGTTGTCACATCACGTAACATGTTGTCAGCCTCCTTTTTTACATTCACATTTACTTGTGATTAATATGCTTTCTGTGCATTTCAAATTACATTTGTAAATTGAATTCTATCTCATATTTGACCTATTATTAAACTTTTTTGATAGTTTTTTATTACTGATAAATGTTTTTATAAGCTTTTTTTATTATTTTGGGGAGGGGGATTAAGTGGTTTTTATATTAATAGCAAATCTATGGTAATTACACTTTAAATTCTGCAGGGTTTATTTACTGCAGCTTTCCTGGAATTTTTTTTTTTCTATGAATTGATTGCTAGTTTTATTGTAACGGCCCAATAAAAATGCATCTCGACTTCTGGATCATAAAGGATGTGGATAAAGAGAACAATGGAGTACGATAAAATGTGTACACCAAATATTTTTATCAATTTGCCCTTTTCTCAGAATCTGCATCCCAGATTTTCCTTATTATATTATTTCCTTATTATAGTTACATTACAATAAATACTTCCTGAAACATATTTTATTACCCGTGTTTATTGTGTCGTTTGGTAATTAAATAAGCACATTTAAACGATTGTCTACTGCCATGTGCAACACCGAACTGTTCATCAGGAAGAGTGTTGAAAGAGAAACTATACAATGCTCAGCATAGTTGAGTCCACAAAATTTAAAAAATCCATTTCTCAGTGAATATAGGCCATGTATTTTGGTGGATTTAAACAAAACAGATTTATTAAACAGATATATTTATTAAAATATTATATTTTTTCACCAAACATACTTGAAATTGAAAACTATAATTAAATTCAAGCAACATTTTGCCAAAATAAATTAAAAACTACAAAATTTCAACTAAATTTTTCAATTTTTTTGCTTCTTGATTTTTTCTCTTTTCTAAAATTGTATTCAATATTTTTTATAACATACAAATTTGTCTGTACTAGTTTTTGGACTGATATCGTAAGTTATTTTGTTAGATAAGCTCCAGATTTGGCTTCAGTACTGACTAATATGTACAAATATATTATTGTATAGCTTCCTATTAAAAAGTCTAAGTTTAAAAGAATTGTGAGGGGTATACTTACAGTATATATATATTCTGAGCACTGTCTGTTACTGAATGTTGAGTCATGTTCAATAAAAATTAAGTGTCTTTTTTGTTGTCTTTTTAATTCTCTCTAGGATCGCTTGTTCTTTGTTATGGAGTATGTGAACGGAGGAGACCTGATGTTTCAGATCCAGCGCTCACGGAAGTTCGATGAAGCTCGCTCTCGTTTTTATGCAGCTGAGGTCACTTCAGCACTGATGTTTCTGCATCAGCACGGCGTCATATACAGGTAAAACTTCACTCACATTCTGCTCTTACAAAAGGTGTGACTTATATTATAGCAGAATTTATTTTAATATTTTTTTTGTCCAAAGACGTAGAGGTGAATTTAATAAACTAGATTGGCCGTACTGTATGGGTGTGTGTGTAAATGATTGTGTATGGGTGTTTCCCAGTACTGGATTGTGGCCGGAAGGGCTGGAAACAATTTGTCCTTAAAGTCAATATTTAATCAATAATCAGTATAGGTATATTATTATATTTTAGATTCATTATATATTAATAAATAACTCAATAAATTATACATTCAATGTTTTTATATATTTACAATAAAGATATTATTTTATATTATTATTTTATTTTATTATTAATATTATTTTTACATACAAACAGCTCACTGCATTTTTAGCTAGGATATGTAACTTATGGTGGCACAGTGGGTAGCGCTCTCACCTTACAGAAAAATTGCCATAGGTTTGAGCCTCGGTTGAGTTAGCTGGCATTTCTATGTTCTCCCACGTTCACATGGGTTTCCTCCAGCTGCTCTGGTTTCCCCAACAGTCCAAAGGTATGCACAATAGGTGAATTGAATGAACTCAATTGGCCGTACTGTATGAGTGTGTGCGTTTAATGAGAATATGGGTGTTTCTCATTACTGGGTTGCGACTGGAAGGGCATTTGCTAGGTAAAACATATACTGGAATACTTGTTGGTTCATTCTTGGTGGTTCATTCCTCTGTGGTGACACCTGATACTAGGGGGACTAAGTCGAAGAAAAATTAATTATAATTATTAATATAATTCATTATATATTAATAAATAACGCTGTAATTGTTTTTTAAATATATATTTACGACAACAAAAACATTATCATTATTACTTATATTAATATTATTTTTGCATACAAATAGCTGACTGCATATTTAGCTAGGATATGTAAGCTCATTTACACAAACAATAATAAATATACATCTCACCTTCATAAAACAAATAAACAAATTATTATTATTATTATTATTATTATTATTATTATTATTATTATTATTATTATTATTATTAACATATAGCTTTATCTGTATTGTGAACTTTCATTTAAAAAAAGGTTTCATTAAAAAAAAAAAGCAATGGGAAAGCACACTTCATCCTAACAATCAATGTGTTTTATATGCAAATTAATTATTTTTTTATATGCAAATTAATATCACTAGTACAAGTGTTTTCAAAATTGACAAAATTAAAACATTTGTTACATTTTAGGGTGTCAATACAATTGTCACACTTTAAAGAAGCACACTAGTTTTCACCCTGAGACTTCAGTGTGGCTACAGCTCCCACAAAATGATGCCAGTCTTACCCGGGCATCATGCTGACTGGCACTCAGAGGCTTTAAATGCTTGTTTTTGTTCCAGGTCTGAGGTAGATGCTAATCCCATTTGACCCGGGAGACTTAGCAAAAGATCACGCCATTGTTAGCGTAGCATTTAGTATCAGTTTACCTCTCTCGATGAAGTCAAGTCCTCATTCAGGCCAGAGCAGATCTTTCTTTTTTTGTAGGCTCTCTGGAGACAGATGAAGATACACTGTACATTCTGTGCAGTTTTATATGAGAACAATAAGATAAAGAAACAACTGTGAAAAGTCTCAAAGGGCTAATCTTTTTTTAAGGGTCTCCACAAAGCTACAAAAGAAATGCCCTCATTTGTTTAACATTTCTGAAAATGTTTTATGCAATTTGTTCCATTTCAACCTTTTTAATTGACAGAAGTAGGGATGGAACGATAACTGATTTCAAGGTTCACCGCGTTTCGGAAAAGTCAAGGTTTTAAAACCGCTAAAATTATATGCTGTACTGCTCCTAAAGTGCATGTAAGATTTTTTAAATGTGTTTTTATGTGTTTTATTTGAATTATTTAGCCTGACATGTTTACTCTTATAAAATATTTTAAATCTTTCCTAAAAATAAAAAAAAATTATTTGAAAGCGGGCCGAAATTATTAGAACACTTGGCATGATTTAGAGTTTTCAGTGTTTCATCCTGAACAATACCCATGTAAAATGTCAAATATCTATATAAAACTCGCCATTAAGCTCTATAAACCATATAACAGAGCTGTCATAAGGAGATTTAGGTCATATACTTATGACCCTGTCTTTATATTTATATATATATATATATATATATATATATAGGCATATATTTATGCCTTGCCTTGCCTAGGTCATATATTTAATAAAAACTAGCGAGGCCTATTTTACTGTCAATGTCACACAATCTTGTTCCTTCACAAAAGAACCCAAATTACTTGTGTAATCATTGTCAGGCTTGGGATACCATTAATGTTGATGTTCTCAAGAAATATATTGACACTTAATGCAGTATTTATGACTTTTATCTTATTTCCGTTTACTGTTACGTTCCTTTCATTTAGTTAAAACAAAAAATAATAGTTTTTGAACATTTATGAATCTAATAATCAATGTTTTTTCACACCCCTGCTATTTATACTCAAAAATAGTAATAGTATGCAAATTGAGAAGCAACAGCTTATAGATCATTTCAATGGAGCGATGTCAATGGCCCATGAACATTTCTTGCTTGTTGTCAAACTATTTCGTAACTAACAAGAGGCAATTTATTCATATCGTTAAAACAGCCGTCATAACATTATTTATCAATATGTGGACCTTTTTGGATTCTTGTAATCTATGGAAATTAAAAATGTAATACAGGAAATACTCACCATTGTTATTGCTTACACCTCTCAAAATAGTCTATTGACCTTATTCTAAAATGCGGAAGTGCGCCTGTTTTCGCGATTGTCTTAGAACTTCCGATTCAGTAGCCTATGGGAGAAATGACTAGGAATAATAAACGGCAGAAAACGGTCAAACTACTTGCTCTACAAACAAATGTTTGTATGACTATACAGACCAAGTAGAATAATATAATAAGATAATATCAAATTGCAGCATCAAGCAGCGTAATGAGCAGCTTTTAACATCAAAAAATGAATGGAAGTGAATGAGACCGGAAGTCTCAAGCCAAAAAGATTAAAATGGCAGCGCCCACTCGTCGGCAGAGAATAAGTTAAATAGAAGCTGCTGCAATATGCTGACTTCACTGATTGGTTATTTTATTTAGAAGGCGGGACTTAATGTGCACATTCTATGTAATAGGAGTGCAACAATACATCTCACATCTCCGTTTCACACTTAAATCAGTTGCAGATGCTTGCAAACACTTTAAACATTTATAATGCAATCGCAAGCAAAAAGATACACTTGCAGGCCGCAATGGGTCACATGCTCAGAGAAAAGCACAGAAAGCAATATTCCTTATCCGCAGCTCCAGTAGATACTGTAGTTCTGTCATAATCCTGCTCATTCCTGCTGAGTCCTGCAAGATACAAGAGGTCAAACTGCAAACGACCCCATTTGAAACCCATATCTTCCCCTTCCTCACTATGTTATCAGACTAAAAGTGCTTGCCATATCAATCTTCTGATGCTAATATTGATTCTTGTAGCTCCGGTAATGTTTGTCTGAGTTCACGCATGCAAGCGAGCTGTCAATGTCCATCTCTTTCTGCAGGTTTTGTCTCTTTTTTATTCAATCACAGATCAACATTAAGCTTGTTGGAATAGAACTGTACTGCAGTGTTTACATCAGCAATTTTTCCGCATGTGAGCCACTTTTAAAAACGACCACCTAATAAAAACTAAAGTCTAAAGTCTTAATTATTAATGAATTTAAAAATGCAAAACATATATTTATTCATAAACATATTGAGAATTTTGTATTTGTTCAAAATATATTGATGTACCTTGCATAACTGTAGGAACCCATACAATAGCCTACAATTTTTGTCATTACCTTACTCTCATGACTCTCTTCATTGCACTGAATGGAATCAGCCAGAGAAGCATAGTCCGGACAGTAGCTGCTGAAAGTCAGCATCAAGCACACTACTAAACGATCATCAGTCATGGTGGAACGATGTTTGGACTTAACCGCGCCAAACTTCGCTAATCTATAGTTTTGAGGCACTTAGTGAAGTTGATTACCCATGTGTCAGAAAAGGTCAAATATTAGACCGGCTGCCCTGAATGTCATTCAAGCGACAGATTTCAGTAAGGATGGATGATAGGTTGACGTCTGTTTTTTTTAATGCCATGCGATTTACATGCTACCTTTGTGATCAACGTTTTAGGCACCCCGGTTTACATTAATGCTGCCTGGATTATAGTAATAGAGTGACACTTTACAATAATGTGATATTAATGTAAGTTAATGCTATTTACTATGCATTTACGTATCACAGCATTTGTTCATGTTTGTAAACTTTTAATGGAAATAAAGTTCATGTTAAGTTTATGTCATCTCAGTAGTTCATATTAACTTGCAGTACATTAACTGACATTAAAAAGCATAAATCTGGATGTTTATAATGCATCAGTAAATGTTAATGAACTCTGATTAATAAATGATGTACAACAATGAAAAAAATGCTGGGTTCCACACAATTCCCAACACAAATCAATTAAGTTTAGTTAATTGTTTTTACAAATCTAAGTCGATTAAACTGAACCACCAAGAACGAAATTTCGGTGTTGCATTTTTTAACTCTAAATGTCGCTAATTAGCACAATCAATGAATTTTTTTAACATATCCCATAATTTCCAAAATATCAGCATCTACCAAATGGATGATATGTCGGTTTATGGTAAAAGTACCAGAGTTAATACATATACTATGAAAAAACTGAAAATACAAAGTGTAAGTCTATTTTATTTAAAAATAAATAAATAAAAATATTTTTGAAGTATGCCATAAAATATTACAGATTCTCATTTCAACATGTTTTCTTGTTTTGTTTTGTTTTGTTTTACAATAAAACCAAATTCAAGTGTAGTAACGCAACAGGATTACGTTCGTTTGATTTTCTTGTAAACCAACAATGGTGTGCAGCTCATTTTGAAATAGTACTTTGAACAAGCTGCATACATAAT